TTTTTTTTTAAGTTTTTATTTTATATTATCTACAAAGTAAAAGTTTTCTTAACTTAAAAGTTACATCACTGTCTCCCGATAGTGATCATCTCATCAAACGTGACTTATAAATAAAAATCCATCAGTTTGACGATTAGAACTTTTTGTCTTTTGTTTTGTTTTTTTTTTTAACTGAACCTGTTTCAAGTTTAGTTAGAAGTAAAAGGGATCTCCAAGTCTTGATTTTTGTTTTTTTTTTGTTTTTTTTTTTTAGTGATATAGCAGCAAGAATCACTCTTGTTACTTCTTTGCTAGCTGATGAGTTCAGAACTTTGAAGGGTCAATAAAAAATAAATAACTTCCAGTTTTCAGCAAGCAGAGTTGGGGCACTTGCAGGACTCAGATACAGTGCATGGAATTATGGAACAGCCCACAAGTTCCTAAATGCCTCTACTCAGTCCGAATCTCTCCCACTGCAAGATGAACTGTTAGCATTCCTAGTGGATGTTACAAGAAATCAAATGGATTTTTGTTTGTTTTTTTTTTAAACAAAATAAAATGAAATTCTAGTTTTCTGTGCTTCCAGTTGGCAGAAGCAGTAGAAGGAGGGTATTTGGCCTACAAAAGGTATCCAGCCTTTCAGTTACTCCAGATGAGCCTTACAACTGCTGTTGGTGGTGGGCTTGTACTGTAAAAAAAAAGTTCAAATGTAAATAATAGATTGGCAAGCCACACAACAGTTTGCTATTAAGTGGTCACAGGACAATTACCGAGCTCAACTTTTCGTTTTTTTTCTTTTTTTTTTTTTTCAATATTTTTTTAGAGAACAAAACAAAACCTGCACATCAAGATGTCCTTTGGATGTCTCTTTTTTTTTTTTTTCTCACCCTAACCCCTCTGCAAGCAGCTTTGTTCTGCTCACACATTCCCCAACAAACAGCATCAGTCACGACACGAGCTCAGAGGCTCCTTCCAAACGTGAGCAACCCACGGAACCTAAGTCAGGTTAAATTTAAAGCAGAAACAACAGCACCTACTCTCCCCCAGAAGCAAAGCTGCACATTACCCTGAGTTAAGGTGCAGACTCCAGTTGTGACTCTGCAGCCTGACAGCTTTACCCCCACGGCTCTCTTGCCCTCCACACCGACAGCCTGTGCCCTGGGAGGGCCTGAGATCCTCACAAACTGCTGCACACACAGCCCATCCCCTGCAGGAACTCATCCTGCAGCACCAGAGCTCACACTGCAGCTGGAGGAACAGCCAAGATGGCCCAGGCAAACCTGTGCTCACACCCTCAGCTGGCATGGGGGCTGCCAGAGCACGACTGCCAAACCAGGACATCTTAGGCTTGTTTTGGTTTTGTTGTTCACTTTCTGCCCCAAAACCTGTCTTAGCACAGCTGACACTCGTCCGACCTGGCTGAGTTAAGGTGCAGGTCTCCCAGGCACACACTCCTCACCTGAAGGGTGCGTCATATAGGGGAAATGTGTTGTTGTCGAGACTGGAATGGGCTGTAGTGCACTTTGAGCGAGGGCGGCTTGGGGACCACCGGGTGGCTGTGTCGTCATTAGCATCATTGGAGCATGGGCAGTTGGGTGAGAAGGAACCATTCCTGACTGTACATGAGCCTGAAACAAAGAGCTCTTTAGTATCATGGTCACAAGGAGGCACCAACTCCTGGCCACATGACTGGCAAAAGTGGTTTTGTTTTTGTTCGCTTTTTTTTTTTTTTTTGCTTTTTTTTTTTTTTTTTTTTTCCCAGCTGTACTGGTAAATCCAGAGATTTACTCCATTTTAATTAGATGAGGGATTAAGGCAGAGATTTCAACACAAAAAAAAAAAAAAAAGAAAAATGTAACAACAAAAAGAAAAAAAAAAAAAAAAAAAAAGAAAAATGTAACAACAAAACAGAGAACAGGCAAAAGCTGGAGTCACAGAAGGAAAAAAAAAAAAGGGCTCAAATGCTCATCACTGCTGGCTCTGAGTCACTCTCAATCGCAGCCATTTTGCCAGCATTGAACAGGGGGATGAAAAAAATAACAACTCAGCAACAAATCTGCAAAACACGTTAGTCACCTCCATCAAAGCACTTCCTACAGGGCACAGAGAGGAACTCCAAGGCACTGGGGGTGCTCTGGCTCCCTGCCCTGGGCAGTGCCACTCGGTGCAGCACTCCTGGGCAGAGCCAGCTCAGCCCCTGACACTGCCAGCTCACCTGGTCCTGGGGCCAGTTCAGCTCCTCACAGTTCTGCTGTAACCTGAGCCATCATGGCTAAGCCTCAGAGGAGGAGGAGATTAATCCTCCCAGTACATCAGCACCTCTGGCAAAGGAGTTCAGTGACTTGTTGGGTTCTTTAGCTCAGAGCAGTTCGTGACTCCAGAGGTCAACAATTCATGGCTGAAAGGGCTAATAACACTAGTTTCTCAAAAGAAACAAAATATTGAGGAACTCTGAGCTCTCAGTGGGTTTCTCCTGGGTGAAACAGCCCCAAAACCCACCACTTGTCTCTAAGGTTTGCTTTGTCCTTCCACCTTATCCCACAGCTGCAGCCTCACAAGTCAGGAAAGACATGGATAGCAGGTAGTGGCTAGAATTTTATTTCTTGAAGACAAAAGGGTTACTTGACTCATCACAGACATTCCCCCAACTCTTTTTGATCAGACTTGCACATGTTAGTAGCACTCCAGAAGCCTCTAAAGGCAGGAACTGCAATTCAAACCTCACTCTTGCTCTAAGGAGGTTGGGAAGCTCAGGCTGTGGCACAGCAATACCTCCCAGGGTGGGCACCACGTTGGCTTTGACACACACGTTATGGTAGAAGCCACCAGCATAGAGCAGCTATTCCTAGAGAGCTGTGGTCAATACACACAGGGGAGAACATTCTGCTGCTGTGGCTCAAACACTTTGCAAATTGGCAGCTGACAGTACTCTGAATGAGTTTTAAAGTACTGGGTCTCAAGTGAGAGATCTACCAGCTCAAGATTCATCTGACAGCCTAAAGGGAAATTGGATTGATCCCCTGTGTTGGCCTGACCGAGATTTTGCCTACATGGTACTGCAGGATTGTGTTTAGAAGCTGGAAATGAGGCTGCTAAAAAACTACTAAATCCAGTGATTAGTTTCCCCATAATGAGGTAATTAGAAGCATTTAAAATTTCTGACAGAACTGTAGTTATTCCTTCACTATAGATTTTTTTGAGGGAACTACTTCAGTGGGAAAGCAAATTAGTTTGGTATAAATATCATGGATTAGAGATTGCAGTTTTCACTCTAAGAAAAATTACATAGGAAGAGACTGTGTAAGTTAAAATCAAGGGCCATGCAGGCTCTGTGACTGCTAAAAATCCTGCCTGAGCAGTCAGTTCTGACTCCAACTTGCATCTGATTTGCTTTAGTTTGGTTTGGTTAAGTGCTTGGCACACAGAAAGGAGGCAACGCTCACATCCTACACCCACAGTCTTGGCCACGGCGTGTCCAGCACAGCTCATGTACAGCTCTACCTTCAAGTGACCTTGAAGCAAAGGTGCTTCATGTTTCAAGGCACTGCACTGGACATGCCACTCAGCCAAGACCCTTCTGAGCAGCTCTACACACCCCCAGGCATCCCTAGCAGTGCCACCACCCAGAGCAGAAACCAGTGCCTGGGAGGACACGGCAAGACACCAGTTTGGGCATCCTCTCCTCATCCTCCCACCAAAAAGCAGAGAAATTCAAAGCCTAACAGAATAAAAAAGCTAAACACTCGACATCAGTAAACCAATTCCTAACTAACTATTTATTTATTGTCTTAACTGACTGTCCCAGGGACCAGAGCAAAGATTTGATTAGGGTTCTCCAAGGGACTAACCTCCCTCATCACAGTTAGTCACCACATCCCAAGCTGCTGCTAACCTGCATGAGAAAGCAGAAACCAGACACACTTCTGGTGTGAAGAAGAAATTGTGCAGGCAAATGGCTGATCTCACTGCCCATTCCCTGACAGAGCACACTAAATCCGTGAGATTTAGCAGCCATCAGAAAATCTCTGTGACACAGAGAGCTCCTGATTAATCTGTCATGTGCTTCCCTTCCCCAAACCCTTCCCTGCACTGAGCTGACCACAAGGGAGCAGTTAAGAGAAGTGGGTTTCTGATCCTGAGCAAGGGCTGTGCTAAGCTGTCCAACAATCAGTGGGCACCTTCTGCACAAGCAGTTCATTGAGAACCACACACAGACACGCAGAGTTCTCTCTGCAAGGACTGTCTTGCAGTGATCTGAACTCTCACCTCTCTCCCCCTTGCTATGCCCTAGCAATCTGTGTCATATCCTTTACTACATGTAGCAATTTGCCTACAATGCACAGCCTAAAACTGCCACCAGAAGCAGCAATTCAACCTTCCTCCACTCAGCTCTCACCTCCAACCTTTCTGTATGCCAGCCCTTCCCAGGATCATGCACCTGAGCAGTGCACTGATTTCACCAAGAGATTGCCTAAAACTGGGGTAGGGGAGGCACATTTCAGCTGAATCATGTGCCCAGTCTGGTTTGCTGCATGGCCAAACAGTTCTGTGAGCAGAATGGTGGGGCAGGACAAGGATGGGAGCCAGGAACTGGGAAGAGAGCTCAATTTATTTCAGGAGCAGTGCCAGCTTAAAATGTCTTCATTAAAACTACAGTTGTAGATGCACTAGATGTTGGAAGCTGAGGTCCAAAATATCTTGTCAAACTCTAAATAAAGGCAATGTACAGAAAAGAAACCTAAATAACAACACCAGGTAAGTCTGTGCTGAGAGGTGACAGATTGCCAAATCACTTTCAGCAGGCCCAACTGCCCTAACTTTGTGGCATTAAGACATTTAGTCTTGAAGGTTGTTTAAACTGTGTTTACCTGGGGGACATGGGCCATGTGTGGCGGATTGGTATATGCAGGTTGAACATGGGAGGGATGAATGGTGAAGACTGTTTGTTGTGCTGTAGGAAAACTATTTTGTGGAGACTGGGTGTTGGAGCCTGGCGTCATGGAAGGTGGGGTTGGAGCTAGGCCTGCGTGGTAGATCGCCGACTGCTGCTGGGGGTTTGCCAGGTGGAGTGCCTGAGCAGCCTGGTGCTGATGGTGCTGCAAGAGAACACAGGACATCACTTAGCTGTGGGCTAGGCAAGGGGCACGTTGAT